GCGTGCGAAGCACTGCGAGCGCCATGCGATTAGAATGCGGCTGCGATGCAGAGCTGCGCGAAGCAGCGCAAACACAATCCGAGCCAAAATGCAGGCGCGATTGCAATGCAACGCGCCGAGCAATAAACAGTTCAATGCGACACAAAGCGATGTCAAGCAATGGAATACAATCCGGATGAATGCAGTGCGCTTGCAGTGTGCAGCATTGCAACGCAATGCGAAACAGTGCAATACAATGCGATTGCCACTTGATTGCATGTCCAAGCGATGCGTTGCAATGCGATTGCAGTGCAGGGCGCAAGGCGACGCAAATCAGTGCACGGCAATGCAAAACAAAGCAGCTATGCTGTGCTATACGAGTGGGCGAATGCGAGTGGACGGGTGCAACTGACGGCGACGTACGGCGGCGACAGACGGCGACGAGCCGACCTGGCCGCCACCGGGGCCCAGTTGCCTTCGATCGCAAGTAAAAGCCCCGAGTTGCAAGCATTGCTTTGGGGAAATGCGAGAATTCAGCGCGCGCGCTCGCTGAAATCGCCGCGTGTCGCCGTTCTGTCGAATTAGACCACGCGGGCCACTCGCGCTCGCATGCCGAAAACGTCCGAACACCGCCAAGCATCCACCGACCCTGTCAACTGATTCGCCACGGCCCACGCGCGCGCCTTTCCGCGCGCGCGTCGAAATCATGCCCAATCCATTGGTGTCCCGACCAGTTCAGCAAAGACGTGTTTAGCAATAAACGAACACCCACTTGTTTTCAACAACAAGAGATCAGGATGTTTGAACTTCTGCGGCCGCGCACTCTCTCATCATCCTCGTCAGCACAAGTGCTATTACCATCGTCATCATCACCGCTGCCATCGCCGTCATCTACACCACCACCATCATCATCATCAGCGACGTCGCCTTCGTCGGGATCTCTGGCGCCGCTGTCATCGCCGTCATCGTCGATGCCGTCGCCCTCATCAGTTTTCTGCGCGCGGGCATTTTCCCGTCGTCGTCAGCAGCCACAAGCGCAATCGTCATCATCATCACCGCCATCATCATCTAATCATCACCATCATCATCACCAACGCCATCACCATTATCAACATCATAGTCATCATCATCATCAACATCAAGAACGTCGTCGTTGCCGCCATCATTGTCGTCGCCATCAGCCAAGTCACCATCGCCATCGTCGTCGTCAGCACCGTATCGTTCCCATATTTATCGTCATCGTCGCTGGCATCAGCGTCGTCGCCGTTGTCATCTGTATCGTCTTTGGCGTCGCGGCCGTCGCGATCGCAACCGCTATTTCGCGACCAGCAGGACAGCCTTGTCGGCGTCGTTCAAGTCCATGGGCCCTTGCGCTCGCTGATATCATGGCCGGATGAGCTTTGTCGACATTCTTTGGGCGCGGCCGAGGAAAGCGCAGTAAATGCAAGCAGTTGCACGCGCGCCACGGACGACCGCGAGCGCGCGCGCAAGTCAAGTCAATCCAGGCCGGCAGGGGGGTGCAGAGGAGAAATTGAGGACGCTGCTGCGGCTCCCTCGCGGAAGGCGTAGATCGCCTTCGCCTTGGCGTAGAGGGCCTTCCCCTCCAGCTCCGCCCCATTTGACGGCCACGACCCCCTTGAGGTTTAACTCCTTCCTGGCCGCGTCGGCGCTCTCGGTCCGCATCTTGACGGCGCTTAAATCTGCTCCCAGCCGGGGATGCCTTCTTCGGAGCGATCTTCCCGCGCTTGTTCTTCAACAGCTTGTCCTTTGTGAGTGCCGCGGCCGTCTTTTCCAATGTTCTCCGCGGCGCCTGTGCCCCCGCGGCCTTGGCCTTAGCGATGTTTCTGACGCGCTTCGCCTTCGTGGCCTTCATCTTTCTAGTTCCCTTCGCTGCGCTCTGGGCATTCTTCATCGGCAGCGCCGTCGCCGGAAAGTGCATTGTGCCGATTGCCTTCTCGAGTGTAGACCTGGGGCAATAACGAATTGGAACAACGTGGATGCAGAGGGTCAGCTTTGTCGACGACATGGAAGTGGAAGGGCGGGACGTTTGCACGAACGGCGGTCGATGTTTTGAAGTGGTTCATCCACTACTTGCACCGGGTAGGTTACACCGCATAGCGCGCACCATGGAAATTGCACCACATCGCCTGCAACACATATGTTGCGCTAGAGAGCTTGCACCGCACACGTGCGCTGCATGATTTGCACTTCATCTGTCGCCCTACGTAGATCGCACTTCATATGCTCAGCATCCAAGGTGCAATAGCTTACCAGTTGGGGTCCGCGCTCCTATTCTCATAGTCTTACACTGTCGTGATGGGGGGTGGGCGGGGGGCCCCTGGGCGCCCCTGGACAGGGCCCTGTAGGCCTCCCGTACTTTCGGAAAGCTTCTGCCAGGTCCAGGCAAGGGGCCTGCAACACCAAGGAGGGTGGCCAAAGGGTCCCGCGAGAGCCCCGAGCGACAGTGGCATCTGTGCGCAGTGCCCCGCTCGCTGCGCGGCTCCCATGACTAGGGGCGGCCGCGCGTGAATCCTTGAGCCTGCGTCGAACGACCTCCTGGACGCGCCAGCGTATTTTCTTCGCGGTGATGTGGCGAGCCTCCTGGATACCTCGTGAGCGACCCTTCGGGAGATAAGGCGGCTCGGGGAGCGAAGGGTTGATGAACTTGCACTCCGATTGGCATTTCGATTGCGCTTCGATTTGAACCAGGATCACTTTGGTTGCGCTTGGAATCGCATTTTCGATGTGCATGTCACCCTGCATCTCGCGTTTCATTTCGACGTGAGTCCCCGTTGATATGTCGACTTAACTTCCGATGTGCAGTGCGCTTCCATCTGGATTTTCATGTAGACTTGCGACCCCTACGGGGCACCCAGAGAAGTCGCGTCAAGGCTGGGCCCGCGCTTGCGCAGGGCGCATCCGTCGACTGGCGCAGGCCAGGCGGTGGGGTGAGCGCGAATCGGCGTCGCGGAGCCGAGCAACCTCGCCGATGCCTCGCGCTGGGCCAGCCCAGCCTCGACGCACCCAGGAGCCGCCGCGACGCCACTGTGCTCGCGCAGCATGGTCGGGCGGGCGGGGAAAAACGCATCCCGTCAGAAGGGCGGCCAGGCGGGAGGCGAATCGTGATTATTTGCGGCGAGAACGGGCTCGCGGGCGCGCAGGGTGGGGGTTCGCCTCAGCTGAATTTAGCCGTCCCGAAGCATTGGAGACAAGCAACAAGAGTAGCCAGAAACGGGCCTCGGTGCCTCGCCGCGACTTCTCCCCGTGCTCAAGAGCTGCCCAGAGCGCCCATGAGAAGTCGCGTCGAGGCTGGGCCCGCGCTTACGCAGGGCACGACCGTCGACTGGCGCAGGCCCAGGCCAAGCGGTGGGGTGAGCGCGAGTCGGCGTCGCGGAGCTGAGCAACCTCACCGTTGCCTCCCGATGCACGCTCGGCGGACCGACGCCCACGCGCGTTCCCAGCAAACCGCAAATGCCTGGTCTGGTTGACTCACGGCCTGGGCGACCCCTGCACCGCCTCCGCGGCAGTCGGCGCGTCCTGCGCGCCACGCGCCGGCGCGGAGCCCCGACTCTCTCTGGATAGCCCACGAGACAACCAACGGAACAACCGCGGGACAAGTCAAAGGCAAACCCACGGGACAACCAAGGACAATCCATGGAACAACCATGGGATAGCCTACGGGGCAACCCATGGAATAACCATGGTACAACCCACTTGACACCCACGGAGCAACACAGTGAAACACTCACGGGACAGCGACTGGACTGCTCGCAGGAAAACCCACGGGACCCCCCCCTCGACGACCCCGCGCCGCACAGCGAGCACACTGCAGAACCTCCTGACCCGACGTGGGCCTCGCAGCGGCGGGCACGCCATCGCCCTCTCGCAGCCTCGCCCCGCCTGCACGCGCAGCACGAACCGAAACCGATCCTCTCGGCGGGGGCCACTGCGTCCTCACCCCCCCCCGCTGGCCTCCGACGGTGCTGCTGCACACGCTGGCGGCTGGCCGCTGGGGCTGGCCAACCTGCTTCTCCGAGGGGGGCCGATGGCAGCCACGGCGGCCCTCCCGCACGGCCCAGCCCGGGCCCTCGGAGCCCTGCCTGGCTCCATCCCCGCCCGCTGTTCGACGCCGGCTCCGCCAGTGGCGACGAGAGGCCTCCAGGAGGCCCCAGAGCAAAGCGAGCAAAGCTACTCCAGAATTCGTAATGAAAGGGAGGGGGTCTGGACCCTCCAAGACAAGCCATTTCAGACCTCCCCCGTGGGAGAACCCTCCAAAACGTCGTCCCCAGACCCCCCAGGCCCTCCAAGATAGCCTGGAAGAGCCCCCCCCCCGAAATGAGACCCCCCTCCCTTTCTTACGAAATCTGGAGTAGACAGATCATCCCCAGACTATTTCTGGATTGTCTTGGATGTTCCTCCTGCAGAGGGAGGGGCCCGACTTCACGCTACAGGGAGGGTCGGCGTTGCCACGACGGCCCCCGCCCCTCCTGCCCCCGCCCCGCCCGACGAGGGAAGGGTGGCGATATCGGCTTCCTCCTCCTCCTCCTCCTCCTCCTCCCCCCTCCTCCTTCTCCTCCTCCCCCCTCCTCCTCCTCATGAGATGGCAGGAGCGCCGCATGCTGGCGCACTACCCCGCGCACTACCAGGGCTTCCAGGTCTGGGGGAGGGTGCTGGCCCTGGGTCACCAGGACGTGGGCCGCTGCCCAAAGCCGAGCGGGGCCCTGCGGGCACTCCAGGCCAACGCGCTCTGGCCTCCTCAGGGCTCTTTCCTTGCGGGGAGGTGCGAGAAACCGGACTGCGTACTGTGCGGCGCGCCCCAGGGCTCCAACGGCTACTTGTACTTCGAGTGCGAGGCGGTGCAGCGGCAGCAGGACGATGAGGAGGAGGAGGAGGAGCCTTTCTCCGAGGAGCTGCTGGTCACCCGAGAGAGGCTGCGGGGGCAGGCAGTGGACACGGGCGATGGGCCCAGCTACGAGCACCTTGAGTTCGCCCTGCCGCTCGCCCCTCCGCTGCCCGACCAGGTCCCCGAGGAGCTCCCGGAGTTCGAGTGGGGGCTGGAGGGACAAGCTTGGGGGCAGCAGCTCTTTGTCGATGGGTCTGGCCGCCACTCGTCGTTCGTGGAGGTGCGCAGGTGCGGATCATCAGTCGTGCAGATCTCGGACGAGCTGCTGCCGATTAAGGCGCGCTGGGGCGGCCTCCCGGGGCTCGTGTAAACGGTGCCGAGGTCGGAGCGGTACGGCGGCATGCGACCCATTCAGCTTGGGCGGCCACCAGTGCACGTGCTGTCAGACCACATGTCGTTCGTGCAGGAGGTCCACGAGTGGCAGGGTAGGCACACCAGGCCGCGAGCTCAGCACGCGATAGTTTGGCGGCAAATCGCGGCGACGGTGGAGGGGAGCGGCGTGCCCATGCCGACTGCAGAGAGGGTGCGGGCCAACCGCGAGCTGGAGGACGCCGTGCTGGCCGACGGCACGGCTTTCCGCTACGTCGGCAATTTCTGGGCCGACGTCTTCGCCAAGATGGGCTCGGCCAGCATCATGGTGTCGGAGGTGCACGTGCGGGCGTGCGAGATCCAGCTGCGGGACGTTCGGGAGGCCATGCGCCACGTGGCATGGGCGGCTGAGCGCGCAGTGCGGCTTTCAGTTGGCGGGTCAGCTGCGGTCCCGCAGCAGGTAGCCAAGGTAGCCCAGGTGGGCATGAAGGCACCAGAGTTGAGCATCGTGGCCCACGACATCAAGCAGCTCACCAACGGAGTGCTGAAGTGCGCGGTGTGCTACCGCTTCGCGACCACCAAGGCCTCGCTCCAAACTGTATGCTGTTCGCCGTGCGAGCCGCCGACGGTGGGCGTCCGCCACGTCACGGAGACGGCGGGGTTCGCGATCTGGTGCGCGGTCTGCGGCGCTTGGTCCAGCGAGCCGAATCGGCTCTCACCCAAGTTCAGGGATCCGTGCCGAGGGCCATCCAAGGTGCCTAGGACGCGGCGGAAGGAGAAGGACGCAGTGAAGCAACTGCGGCGCGGGCTGCATCCCAACACGCGGGTCGCGCTGGAGACTGGGAGGCCCTGGCGTGGAGCCACCAACGTAATGACCGCGGGCTCCCTGCTGCTGGACAGCATGTGGGGCCACCAGGCCAGAACGGCTTCGGCCTCCACGTCGGCTGCATAGTTTTCGTTGCGATGTCAGGTGGCGTTGGCAATGGGGCCCAGCGTGCTCCGGAAGCGCTCCGCCGGAGCACGTTCGGGCACGTGCTGGCTCGGGGTTCGCCCTGAGCGCGCTGCCGGAGGGCATCGTCGTCGCCGCGGGCTTCTTCATGGTGCTCTACGGCGTGTTCTACGGCTCTCTGGCCCGCCCAGGAGTGCTGGTAGAGCGGTGGCTCCCAGTTCCAGCAGGGTCCAAGGGTGTGAGGGATCCATGGCTGGACAGGTCCCTGGTCGTCTGAGGGGCAAGCCCCGCCGTGCTCGGCGGCTTCGGCGAGTGGGCGCACAGGCGCTCTCGCGCCCTCTTCTGCTGTGTCTCTCTCTCTCTCTCTCTCTTCTCTCCTCCTCCCCTCCTCCTCCTCCTCCTCCTCCTCCTCCTCCTCCTCCTCCTCCTCCTCCTCCTCCTCCTCCTCCTCCTCCCCCTCGTCCTGCGCACGAATTAGAGGAGAGAAAGGAGAGGTCCTTCCGTCCTCGGCAAAAAAACGGGGAGGGGGGCCCTTCGGAGAAGACCTTTTTGCCACCCTGGCAGGAAGGCCGAAGACCTGCCAGGGGCCAGCGACGGGGCCCCCCTCTCCCCAAACCTTTGCAGCCAACGCTACAGACAAAAGGGGGCGTGGCAAAAAGGGGGGGGTCTATGCCGACGCTCCCCTGTCCCACGCAAACTCATGGCGGGCGGAGCGCCTGCCCGCTGGCGACGAGGAGGCTGGGCCGCCAGGCTTCGACGAGAGGCACCCAGGTGCTGCCCTGAAGGTACCTGCCTTGCGCCAGGGCACGCAAAACTCGCAGGCCCCAGGCCGATGGGCGGAGCTTGCACTCAGCCCTGAAAGAAGCGGACAGCGTGACGCCTCCAGCGCCGCAGACAGCACAGACCATGCCAGAGGCCCCCGAGCCAAGGCGGATGGGGAAGGCCTGGTGGGAGGGATGCCCATCCCTCCGAAGAGCAACGAGGGCCACATCGGCTCTGGAGATGACGAGCGGCACAGCGACAGGAGGCGGCTCGACAGCCAGGACAGCTCTAGCCTCGCGCGCTCTGCGAGACCTGACGTGCAGGCAGTCTAGGTCGGCCATCTTGCTGCCAATCCTGCCGACCCAGACCGTGAGAAAGGTGAGCACCTTCGCCTTGGAGGCGTAGGCATCTCGATAAACCTGCGGCGCACGAGTGAATTCAGCGGCTTCCTTGGCAGTGGCATCTGCAAACGCGTTGCCTGCACGCTGCCTGGACGTGATGAGGCCCCGTTCGAGGTCTGCAGCCGTGGTGTGGGCCTTGACTTTGAACAACCGAAGAGCCTCCGCCCCGCCACGATCATCGATGGCGGCCCACACCAGGCGCCAGAGATCTGCCCATGCAGCTCTGGCCGAAAGGCAATGAAGTTTGCCACGCTTGTGGACTCCGTCGTGCACGAACTGCGAGTCCGTCCAAAACGTGGCAGCAGAGCTCGGAGAAAGGCCCAGAGCTCTACAGCGTTGATATCGTAGAGACCAGCAGGCAGACCTCCTGCCAGCACCGCGACCGAGACGGGCCGATCATCGTGCAGGGCCACCACGGCCCATCCCAGGCTGTGCGCCTCTGGCGGCAGGTGGCCGTCCAAGAGGCTGCCGTCAAAGAAAATGTCGCCGTCTAACAGACCAGGGTGCCCCTTGAACCAGAGCTCGTCTGGCGGTGGAGGAGGAGCAGGAGGGGGGGCAGGCAGCGGCAGCAGCAGCCTCTCCACGAGAAGACGGACAAGGGGGTGCCCGAGATTCTGAATCAAACCGGTGACCACGGCTGGAGTCTCCATCTGAAACACTTCCTCATGCCCAGGGCAGGCCAGATGCCTGTGGGCCAGGGTCCCTGGAGAATGATGGCAAACCTGACATTGCGAGACGGCGGACAAACGGTGCTCCGCTTGCCTGGCTTGAGGCCACTGACCACCAGCGAGGACGGAGACGACATAGCCCTTCTCGCGGGCCTCAAGCCGTTGCATTCCCGCGAGCACGGGGGCAAGCATGGGGCCCTTTTCAAACTCAGGCATATCGAGATGCTCGGCGACGCGCTTCCAGCACCAGCTCTGCACAATGCGCTCGAGATGTCGCGCAACGGCCCTGGGACAGAGCTCCAGAAGCGAGAAACGGCCGACGCTCTCGTGCGAGACAACCAAGCCCTCGATCGTGATGCCGAGACGACGGGCTGAAGCAACGCAGCTGGTGAAAGGCCCTCGGACGGGGGCCTCCAGGGCACACTGGTGTTGTCAAGAGCCTGCTGGGCACTGTCGAGGCCAGAGAGGATGAGAGGGACATGCGCCCACGACTCCCACACGGCAGCAGCGAGGTGCAGGAGGGGGGCAGCACAGAGCTTGAAAGCAGGATCAATTCTTTGGACGCCAGCCATCTGCAAGAGCAACGTGACAGAGCGCCCAGCCAACTTCTGTGACTGCACACTGGCCGGTAAAAACCGCGCTTCGCGCAGCTCGGTGTCGGTAGTCCCCATCACCCCCGACCCGTAAGAAGTGGGGGCCTGGACAGCCGCACGAACCACGTTGTGCAACACTCGCTTGCGGAGTTGTCCCGCGAGCGAGGTTATCTTTCTCTGGCGCGCGACCGCAGCTGTGCGTCGGCCACGCTTGGTGATGCGGCGAACTACACCACCAGCTGCATAGTCGACGCCTAAATTCCGCTCGCTCTGCACTGGCACAACCTGCTGAGAGCGGAGGACGGCAGCCAACCGTCTCCGCAACCTAAAGTGCGAGGCAAGCAATCTACTCTTGGGTCGGCTAACGGGAAGGTGCACCGACTGCAGCTCGCCGCGGAGCATGGTGGTGGCCCTGTCGAGGCACTGGTGGACTCGATCCTCTGAGCCAACTTGCGAAGCGCAAAGTCGTCCACCACCGCCCCGAGCTGAACTTCATCAGCTGTCTGGCGTGGGAACGCGGCCTGGACTGCATCGAGCGGCGCCAGGGCAACCATCTGCAGGCACAGCGTCGCGAACTGACAGCCAGCAAGCACCGCTTGCTGCGTGCATATCGGGAGGGAATTCATTCCTGCATACTCTAGCACACGGGGTGCTCTGTAGAGAGAGAGATGAGCAGCCGCAGCTGCCGCAGCGGAAAGTTGGTTCGACGCGCTGCCTCCAGCAGCACGCCGTGACGGATATTCTCGAAGGCTTTGCGGAGGTCGAGCAGCGCAGTGCCTGCGGCGAGGTTGCGCCCGACCGCCCGCTCCGCAGTGGCAGCTTGGATCCACGCCAAGCGCTCCGACCCCCTCCCCGACGTCGACCACCAGAACTCGCGAAAGTTCTCTTGCTGCCACTGCTGGAGGAGGGGCCGCCGCAGGCGTCCTTGGACGCGCGCGCAGATGTGAAGCAGTGCGATCGGGCGGAGCCCGCCCGCACGCTTCAAGAGAAACGCGATCTTGGACCACGCGCGCGGCCAAGTGAAAGAACTCTCGATGGCTAGGAGGAGCTGCCTAAAGCACTCGAGGCCCTCGTCGCATAGCTCGTCGAGCTGGCGAGAGCTGATCTGATCAAAGCCAGCTCCGCTGGCGGGCTTGAAGGAGCGCAAGCGGGCGCGGAGATCGGCGACCGAGAAATCGGGAAGCGGCGGCCCCATGTCTTGGGGCCAGCTCAACTTGTCCTCCAACTCCCCCACGCACCAGTACCGACTCCGCTCCTCCGCAAGTAGGCGCATCTCCTGCTCCTGCGAGGCAGGCGCGCCCCGAGGCGCCCCTGCCTCGTCGAAGGCAGGGCTGGCGTGCCACGGGATGACGGGCTTGGAGAGCGCGAAGAGTGCTCCCCCGCCGGCGGCGCTGTGCTTGCGGACCCACTCGCGCCATTCCTGATCACGGCGCTGCTCGCCGCACCTCTGGTGGTAAGTGGCGGGGGCTCGAGCCTCCTGCGCGAGAAAGCTGGCAAGGCCCCAGTCCAGGTCGGCGGCTGCATCAAGAAGAGCCATCCAAGGCCCCACGAGGGCCGAAGGCAGCGAGCCCGCGGAGCACCGTAGCCGCCGACACGCACTGAGGGTCGAAACTCGTTCGTCGAGTTTCTGAAAGTGCGAGAGCTCGTGCAAGACTTGACTGAGCGCACGGAACCAGACAGCGACGCCGGCGGTGCGAGGGAAGGGCAGCTGCCTGGGCGGGGGAAGCCTGCGTCTCTGAACGCGCAGCTCACGCGCGCGCCCGACGAAGGAGTTGCTGTTGCTGCCGTCGATCTGGTAGATCTCGATGAACTCCTGCTCCATAGCACTCACGAAGCTCTGCCAGATCTGATCAGGGTCGGAAGTGACGTCGATCAGGCTCTGGACGGACGCCCAGCGGTCGGAAGGCAGGTAGCACCCATGCGGGCGCAGCCGAGGGAACATTCTGGGTACATGAACATGTGGCAGCTGCACCTCCACGCGGCAGCACTTGAGCTCAACCTGCACGGGCTTGTGGTCCTTGGTGCCAGCGGCGGTGAGCAAGCGCACGCAGGAGTCGTAGTGCAGCCCACGCGAGACAGCGAACCAGTCCAGCGTGCGGGACGATCCTCGAACACAGGTGGCCAGCGAGGGAGCCAGAAGCACAGCGTCGAGCGTGTCGGGCCAGCCTGTGCTCTGCACCTCCTCTGGCGTGAAATTCCAGTCCCCAGATATCACGAAGGGCATCCCGTACCGATGCAGAATGCCGCCCAACATTGTGAGAAGATGCCAGTTCTGAGCCGAGACGCCTTGCGAGTCATGCAAGTAGACGTTGGCCCACAAAATCCCACCAGGGCGGAGGGCGGACAGATGAAGCACACTGATTCGCGCCTCAGCCACACAGAAACTCTGTTCAGGCAACTCGGCCATACCGAAACTGCGACGCACCATCTGGAAGAGGCCTCCTGTGGTGCCACCAGCTGGTGTGACCTGGGC